GAAATACAGTTACCTAGCCAGGCTTTGTTTATATCTGGTTTCAAACTGTGCTGAGACTAGTTACTCTCCTGGACCTTTAAGATCTATTAATACCATACCTTTCGGCATGGTACTAGTCCTGATGGTTAGTTATTTGATAGCCCTTGTGAGAAGTGCCACCTCGCATAGCAGCTGGTGGCTTTTCCATGTTCTTTCCCTGCAGCATCTTCTCAGACACCAAAAGCCAGACAGAGCATTCCTTCCTCAGCAAGCAGAATAGCTTCTCATCTGGTTTCCTGGCAGCTGGATTTTACCTAGCTTGTAGCGTGCCCTGTGTCTACGGCGGCAGCTAAGGACTGGCGATGGTTGGCGCCGATGCCCTTCCCAGCCCTGGCAGCACCAGCTCTGCCTCTTGGTTTCTTTGACTGATCTTCAGCCCGTTGTAGAAATTACCTCATTTCAGCAATACTGCGGCGAACCGCCATGTTGTTGTAAAGAAAGCTCAGACCTCGGTGATCTGAAGTTACGTGTCCGTGGAATGTTGTTTCCAGGCATTTTCAGTCATGCTATGGGCTTAGCAAAATACTGAGACCTGCTGAAGTTAACACTAATAAAGAAGTGGTTTTCAGGAGCTCGGCTGAGATACCAAAGTAGCTTGTCATCCCCACTTCCTTTGTGTATACAGCACTACCCAACTCAGACCTTCCAAGTAATTTCTAGTTATTCTATTCGGAAATTTTATGGTTTATGTACTAAAAGTTTCCTTTATTTCTACAGTTTTTAAAAAATAAAATTTCTCCTTTCGACAGAAAAGTCTCTTAAAATTATTGAGAATCACTAACACAACTTTTACAATCCCTCAAGCCATTATTTCCTCTAGCAGTCAATATGATACTTACATTTATTTTAATGACAGCAAAGTCAGCAGAAGTTTTATTTTACTTTATTTTAAATGACTGTTAGACATGACACCCACGTCTAAAAGTATCTCTTCCCCTTTCCATCATGTGTTTTGGCTTATGAAGAACAAAGCCCTGACACCACTCGACTTACTTTCTGCTAGATCCTAAGCTTATAGCCAAAGGAAAAATCCACAGGAATTTTATCAGGAATACAAGAAAAAGCTCTTGAATAGAACATGTAAGTAAATAAAGTTTTTCTGCAATCTTTAACAAGGTAATTTACCTACAGGAATACTTTGCTAAGACATGAAAGGTGGCTAAAATACAGGAATTCATGCAACTACAGAACCTTATCCTTCCTGTCGTATGTAGATTCTGTTTTCTTAAGGTGATGAGGATTAATAGGAGTCTCAGATTCTAAAGCCCCACAGTTTTCAGTGAGGATTAAGTTGTGGATTGTTCTAAGATATAAAAATAAACCCCTCTCCCCCCATATTCTAGTGAGCAATTTTTCCTTCTTGCTAATAATTCTATATTGTTTATCTCAAATGTGGTTACATAAAATATAATTAGGACAATACTGATGAGATCTGATTAAAATAAAATTACTTCTAGTGCAATGGGCACAGCTGCCTGGTTACATTCCCACTCTACCCACCCATCTTGTACTTGAACCATTTTCTGTCTCTGGTGATAATACTAACAGCAGGGAGCCGTAGTTCACACTTCTGCTAGGTTTAGTGCCAAACTAAATACAGTTACCAATTCCATTTTTATAATTCATCTTGCAATTTTTAAAATTTTTTTTTTTTTTTCCCCCAAGCATCACCTTTTAGGACTGTGAGATTCTCAGCATTCCTTTAATTAAAATGAAGAGGTTTTCAACAACTAACATTCCAGGTATAAGCTGGAAAATCTGAAACCTCACTCAAAAAATGAAAAACAAAACCAACACATGGGATGAAAAAGAGGCTTAGGATTAAAGTCCTTATCATGATTTTTGGTTGACTCACGGGCATTGAACCTGTGAAACTGGCTTCACTGAACACTCTGTGCTAGCAATTCAAGATGACATATACCCGGTAGAAGTCATTTTTGGAATCTGAAGGGCCAGCAATTTAAAAGTTAGCGCTGTGAACAAGCCACAGCAATATCCATAAAGAAAAAAAAAAAAAGCACTGGAACTTTAAAAAAAATGTTTGGACAACATGATCATGCCTGAAAATTCATGGGGACTACATGAAACATTTTTGCACTGCTGTAATCTAACAATGTGCTATCCTGGGATTTTTTGTCCCAGAACAACTCATTCTCCTGTGCTGCATTAGAATGAAACTGAGCTTGCAGTAAGCTATAGTGTGGTTTAGTTTTACTAGTGCAATGCATCAACTCTAGGGCTGGCATCCTAATGAGGACAAGAACTATGCTTTCATACAAAGAGGACTAGTTCCCCCTCCAGTCGGTTCAAAATATTGTTCACTGCTTCGAGCACACCATAGCCTACAGACCCTACTTATTCCTCGCAGTAACTAACGCAACTGATACCAAGCGTAAGTCAGCATGCTCAATGGCTGGTGACTCAATTTCACATCACGGTAACTATGCTTCATTATTTACAAGACCCATCACCTTTCATTTCACCAGCACTCCTCGTCTTCAAGCCTGCTGTTCGCAGTTGTGCTTTGGAGAACCGCTAACAAGCCCAGCGAGCTGTCCTGCATCTGCCCCCTGTCATTCCGCAGCACTTGTTCTGCCACGGGGTATGCCTGGCCTGTGACTGCTTACAGCAGGCTGCCAGCAATCAGCCATATGTCATTTCTTATATGCACAACATGACTGTCTCATCGCACCCCAAAGCTCTTCTCTTCTCAGTCTGCTTGTTCCAGCATTGGGATTCATGTTCTAAATCCCCAGGCCAAGGGCTAGCCTGGAGGGAACACGTTTTAAAGGACCTTAGCATAACCTTAATGTTCACCACCAAGACCCGAAGCATATCACAGCTAAGTATCACTTTGGCTGAAAGTGCCCAGGAGTAGAAGGTTAACGTAGCAGCAGGTTAGCATGCTTCCTTACTGTAACAGGAGTTACTCCATATACAGCAGCTGTCTCATCTCAAGGTAGGCTCTCAAGACAAGAACTGGAAGAAAACAGATCCATCAGAGTGAAAAGCATCCCCAGGAATGCGGTTCCTGCACGGGCACCGCTCACAGGAAAAGCTCCTCAACTTCAGGGTGGCAGATCCTAGCCAGACAGACAACAAACACAGCACAACTGTGTGATTACCACGCACACCTGGAATACAAGAGCCCTTCTGGGATGGGAACCAGGGGGTGGTTGCTGTGTTATGCTACATTTTGGCAGGGCATGGGGAAAAAAATTTACATATCAAAAGCTTTTGTTTTGTTTTTCAGGAGAAAACTCCCCCCATTTCTATACTAAAGCTTGCATTAAAAAGAGGGAGCGAGAACTGGAGCTGTGGAGGAGGGAGAAAAGCCACTTTATCCATAGAGAGAACAAGAACATACCAAGTATTTGCCATACCAGGGGACCATTCCCTCTGCCTCTGCTTCTTGGTGTCTTCGGTGTCTCAGCGGCCGTGCCACTCCTTTCTTCCAGTGTGTTAGTGACAAACCTAAGCGCGTAACACTGGGAATTTAGATGCAACCAGCTGAGCTGGTCAGTGCCCCAGAGTTTACGAGAAGGGACACAGCACCTTGACAGTACTACAGAGCAGCTAAGTCGCATGGAAAACAAGAAGATTATTTTATGTTGTTTCTATTTCAGCCTGGGCAGGGCTAGATTACAGCAAGCCTTGACAACCCTGCTTGTTCAAACACAGGTCTACTTGCTTTAATCAAGAAGTAAGCCAAGGAAAGAGTTAAAACTATGAAATTGTTGACTGAGGATGAATTTATGTTCTTGTTTCTCACTTTCCTGCTCTCCTATTACTCTCATCTGGTTATTTCTTCTATTAAATACTTTACATTTAGACCGAGGAATGGGTACCGAGAGTCTTAGTCCCTTCTTCCCATTTGGAGGACTGCTGTAACACAAAAAGCGATGTCCTACGCTAATACCCAACTACGGCAATTCAGCAGGCAGTTTCTAAGCCACTAATCTCAGTGTAATCTGGCTATACCTTTGAGCAGCACCACAAAGGCAAAGCTGGGGGTATTTATCCTCACTGATACATGTGCATTTATTTGAGTATTAGCTGGGAGATGATACAGGTTTGTAAGAACACTGTGTCCTGAATAGTAGCAAATCCATACATAGAATGATTGGGAGATTGTTGTGCAATTTGATTTACTTTATTGAGTAATAGTCTGATAGCTACAATGGTGAATCAGAAGAAAAGAAAAAAAAAAGGAAAAAGAAAAAAAAAAAAAACACCCCCCTCCAAAAAAACCAAATCCATATTTCCCCACATTTTGGGAAACAAGCTGAAGAAAACATTCTACACTGTAGAAGACAGCTGTAACTGCTGATATCCATGTTTTGACATTGGAACCGAGCAACTGCAAGTCTGCAGCGTACAGTCCTAAAGCCTCAACCAAAAGAGGCTTAGTAGTAATAACATGGATATATCACCACTGGGAAGATGTTAACATGTTAACAAAGATTCTGGGATACCAATCTGGTATAATCAGCAACATACTGGGCTCCTATGAAAGATGTGGCATTTCTCCTTAAAGTCAGCTTTTAGAGAACTTTGAAAAACAAGGTTTTAAACTGATTACTTACAGTACTCCTTTGCTTGCAGAAAAGCACAAAAATTACAGTTCAATAAAAACTGAATAGATAATCACTTTTTTGACTGGATTTGATTAGTTGCATAACTTTGGCAAGATTATCACAGTGTGATCCAGTTACACTTTCAGGATTATGCGGACACCAGCACCAAATTAATCTTGGAATCAGTCAGCTGAGATACTTATGCACTCTCATACGTCTCTGACCACTTTTGCAGTCTCTCCTAGTCCCACTGCTTCAGTTAGCATTTGATAGTTAGTGCAGTATTTTATGCCATTGATAAAGCAACACCGTCTGGACAGATTCCTGGCTTTGCTCCCCTCGCAAGAATAGCATACCACCTTGTCAAACCCCCGAGGATGTAAACTGGGATTATTCTACATAAATTCTCCCTTTGTGGCATCTGAAATAAAAACCTTTCCCCCAGAACTGCCACTGTTTTGATAGTGAATTCCATGCCTAGTTGTACAACTGGTTACTCAGTTCTTTGGCTGATTTTAAGAATTGCATTTAAAAGTTACTCTACATTAGAGGCATTTAGAAAAGATATTTATACCTGGTATTGGTACTCTTTCAAGTACTCTTTTAGTCTTGTTGGTAATGGCAGCTCCCAGATCTGATTTGTACACTTGTTTATAGTTATTCTGCAGCGGTGTTGCAGAGATGGAGCAGACGTATAGAGGGGTTTGTTCAAGTAAAGATGAACTGTTCCATTTGAAGGTGTTTCGGTTCTGTCCTTGCACATAAGAACATAGTACTCAATCAAATGCACAACACTGTTGAATTGTTTAAGTCTAGATCTGACACAAGTGATAGAGTCCAGTCTAAACTTGCCATCTTGATACTCTATACGTAGATTGGTCGGTCCTGCTGATGTTTTTACTGAAATAGTCAGTAGATACTCTGAATGTGAACTATCCCTAACCAAGAAGGTCCCTTCGGGGGCATCCTGTAGTCTTTCTTTGGCTTCAGCAACAGTCATGTTGCCCCAGTACCATCCTGTTAGAAGAGAAATAAGGGTTCTGTTTATACTTGTTTGTTTAAAAAGCTGCTCTTTGGCTCATGTACTTGTTAATAACCCATTTCCTTTGTTGTTTGAAAGCTAAAGTCCTGCAGGCATTATAAAGTTTTATTTGCTATTTGAATTCATTTACTTTACAATGCGTCTCGTTTTGACAGAGCCTTCCAGGTCACTGTTTATTTTTACATCTATGCATACACACGCACAAACTTTCCTGCAGTGTCTTGCGAGGCTAACGCCGAAGCCGCCGACCCCACGGGCCGCCCGTAAGGTAGCAGGGACGCGCCTTGTGGCTCCGCGCACACGCCGGGGCGAGCGCGGCGCCCGCACGGCAC